TTACTCATGCTGGAAGTAGTTGTAATTGTTGCTGTAGTCTCCTTATTTTCCTTAGTCTCCTTACTTTCTTTCTCCTTGTCTTTGGTTGCCTCTTTGCCTTCCTTCAGGTCTTTTCCCATCTTTGGTGTTTGCGGAGTTCCCTCCTTGCCATTCTTCATCTTTGATGTTGTTGTTGCCATTTGGATGTATGTTTCTTTCTGCAAATGATTTGTATATAATTTACACAATATTTTACACCGCAGTCTTTCTTTCTGGCTTTCTCAGTCTTCCCCCTCTCCTATGTTAATCTATATAATTATTTTTTATTTATTTGTTTATTTATTTTATTTTGTTTAATTGTTTGTTTATTTATTTTTATTTATTTCTTATTTCTTATTTTTTATTTTTTATTTATTTATTTTTTAGTGTTTGTTGGCTTTGTTGCGTTTTTGTTTGTTTACCTTTCAGCTCGTGGCCTCTTTGTTCGTTCGTCTCTTGTCTTTGCTTTCCGTTCGTCATGCTGAACGTCCTCTTTTTCTTTATTTTCTGCTCCGCGCTTTCGTGCTTTGCCGCTTTCCGTCTCCCTTCCTTAACCTCTGTCCTCTCCTTTAGCTGCTCTCTTCTGCCCTCACTTGTGTTACCTTTATTGCCTTCCCCTTTTGCAGGTCCTGTAGCCAAACTCTACACTACCATATAACATCCACATTATTTGCTTTGAACTGGATTATATGGCAGTGTGGACTCCTATAATCTAATAATGTGGATTATCTGCTTTGATAATCTGGATTATATGGCAATGCAGAAGGGGCCTTAGAGATCTATACAGTGGGTCTTTGATATCTGCTGGGGTTTGGTTCCCAGACCCCCTGTGGATACCAAATTCCATGGATGCTGAAGTCCCAGTATATAAAATGGAGCAGTAAATTGTTGTCCCATATTTAAAATGGTAATCTCAAGGTTAGATTTTTGGATGTATTAAATATTTTATTTTTCAAACTATGGGTGCTTGAATTTGTAGATATAGAGGGCTGACTATATTCTTTAAAAACATATTGGTAGTAGGTAGTGAGACACACATTTTCTTTTTTCTCTTTTCGTGCATGCTCAGTCAGAGATTATGGAGGCAGCTGTCATTTACTTTGCCTATTATAGGTATCCCAGTCAACTACAATTGCTATTTTTCAGGTTAATAATAACTTTAACTTGATTCTTATATCCCGTCACTAACTCCCCAAAGGGACTCGGGGCCACTTACATGGGGACCAGTCCCAGCATAAACAAGAGTTACAAAGTAACACACTTAAAACATATAAAAATAAAATATAATTAAAAACAATAAAACCAAAACAATAAAAAAAATCTATAAAAGATTGCAACTGACATCGTGACCAGTAGCCGAGAAAAGTGGGCATGTTAGGATTAATAGGGCTTGTGCAAATGCAAAACTGTAGGGCTGAGCTGGAAGTAAAGTGCTGGAAAATCAAAACCAAAAGTTAGAGTTGGTCAGTCCTAATCAGGCCCTAAACCATTATTCAAAGGCACATAACCAGTAGCCAGGAAAAGTGGGCATGTTCAGATTTGAAAGGATAGGGCGAGGGTTTGTGCAAAAGCAAAACTGTAGGGGCGGAAGTAAAGTGCTGGGAAATCAAAACCATAAATTATAAATTGGGCAGTCCTAATTAGGTGCTAAACCATATTCAAAGGTATATTGAAACCTTTAAGTCTTTCCAGAAGGTGGGCAGAGTGCGGGCTAATCTAATCTCCCTAGGGAGAGAGCCCCAGAGCCGGGGGGGGGGGCACCGCTGAGAAGGCCCTCTCCCTCATCCCCACCAACCATGCTTGTGACAGAGGTGGGAGCAAGAAAAGGGCCTCCCTGGCAGATCTTAGAGGACATGCTCATTCATAGAGGGAGATACAATCATGAAGATAAGCAGGATAAGCTTTTTTGTTCATAGATCCTAGATTTGGAAGAGACCACAAGGACCTTCCAGTCCAACCTCAGTAACACACAATCAAAGCACCCCCAACAGATGGTCGTCCACACTTTGTTTAAAGACCTTCAGAGAAGGAGACTCCACCACACTTCCAGGCAGCATATTCCACTGCTCAACAGTGTTTGCCATCAGGACACCTAATATTGAGATGGAATCTCTTTTCTAGCAGTTTTAATCTATTGCATTGCATCCTAGTCTCTAGAACAGTCTAAAACAGGTTTTCAACTTTTCTAAAATATTGAAAACATGGCTATATCAGACACACTGCTGCAACGTAACACTGAAAGTCTGTGTTTTTCTATTCTTCTTTTGTCATCCTTCCAGTACTGAAGCTGCTTAGAAAAAAAAACCTTATACCTCAAATACGAGAAAGAAAAGTGATCTAGAAAATTTTAAAAACCTTTCTTAGGACCTCATCACATAGCACTTTTGAGCAATTGCTGGTGAAAAGGAAGGCATGCAGGGCAGCTCGTGGTGCCCCGCGTGCCCTCTCCCCTCCACTCATCACTTGGATGCTTCATCAGATAGTAGAAAGGGCTGCAATACACATTGCCCTGCCGCCCATTCTGCCATTACATGTGTATTTGGAAACAACATTTTCCTCTACATGGTGGAGGACAAAGCACCTTTTGGTGCTTTGCCTCCACTTTGGGAGAAAATTGGGCAGGACCTGCTGTGCATCATGTAATGGTGCACAACAGGCCCCATCCAAACCATGAAATAAAGCAACAAACCAGGGCATTTTTGCCCCATGTGAACAGGTCCTGAAAAAGGGCTTCACAGTCAAACGATGTACTAAATGCCTGATTTTCTAACATGGACTGGGACGTGTTTTCCAGTTGACTTATAACTTCCATGTGGCCAATGATAAAAGGTATGGGGAATTGTAGTTTAAAATATCTGGAGAGCAAAAGGCTCTCCCTTTCCTATCTGAATGCCTGCCCTAGCAGCTGAAATACTATAGTGGATCACTTCCTTGTGCAATAATTTAGTTATGGGGGAAGCTGTACCTGCTGAATTTTGCCTATTTTTGGCAGATGTTGAGCATAGAACATGGAAAAGGTACTTTGTGCACAGCAGTGTTTATTTTTTGCTGTTTATTTTTTTCTGGAAATTGACCATAGAGTCACATCTGAAAACATAGAAATTCCTAAAGAGAACATTTTAATAAAAACCAAAAAGTCAAATTTGCAAACACAGAAAGCTGGTTGCAGTTTATTTATTTCTGAAGGAAGAAAAGGAAGGAGTTGTAATCTCACACCAACCAGTAATTCTAAAACAAATTTTATTTATTTTTCCTTGCTGCTTTTGTTGCTTGGCCTCATATCTATTTTGGGTTTTTTATTTCTCATTCATACACCCCCATAAATATATTATTGCTATCCATGAGCACTGGGATTATGTTAGGTAAGTATGCACTTGACATATACATAGCTACATGTTATACATAGTAGAGGTGCTGAGAAATCCCTTTATGAACTGCAAAAGTGCATGAAAGGCTACCAGCAAGAGTGCCCCATCTGCATTGGTGTGCAATACACTAATGCACAACAGAACTAATGTAATGGGAGCCCTCTAATTCATGCAAATGTAAATCCACTTACAAAGATAGAAGGCCCCAACAGAATTCCAACCAAGACTGGCTCTATCATATCTGTTAATTGCTTATAATAATCAGCAGTGGCTAATTGGGTTAATTTGTAGGAAAGCTTGTTAAATCCTTCGGGGTCTGGGCATTCAAACTCTTCAATTGCTGGGGATATTTTTGAAAAAAAAATTTCCTTTTATTGGATGCTACTTATGAGAGATAATAGCACACAGCTTCTCCCTTTTCAATTCATTCTTAGATTTGATTCCTGTGGTCAGTGTATTAATTACTAATTGCCTATAATGTAATTGTTCTGCCCTCTCAATGAATTTATAAATTGACTCAGTCTACATTACATTTTTAGTTAATTACTTGAGTAATATTTGATCATCCCCTTACTGATTACTTCACCTTTCTTCAACCCATTGATAAATATATCATTAATTATCTCCACCCATGGATTCTTGTTATCAGCACTACACTTTCTAAAGAACCATTACAGCGCTCTGTTATATATATACACATACATACACACACACATACACACACACACACATTATTATTATTATATTGGGAACAATTTCTGGAATGTCACCCCCTTTTGTGAATTAATGTTTTTTAATTTAGATATTCATAAAAAGTAATTAAACAAATCTTTATACATGTATATATGCATGAACCAATACAATACTTCCTAACATCTATAAATTATTTGTATTTGGATGGGAGGGTATAACCAAATACGAATGTTACCCTCTTTTTGAGCAGACGGAGACCAGCTCAGTTAAGATAGTTTCCTTAAGCTGGTTTTTGCAGAGAGATGTGCTGAATTCCTTGCATATGCATCTGAAAATAACTTCAGTAAAACATAAGACAAGAAGGCAAAACTTTAGTTGTATAGTTGATGTTCATTTTTTAAATTATAGTTATGTGTTTTTAATTGATGTTCATGTATTTAACTGCATTGTGGGTCTCTTTGTTGCCGTGTTTCAATTTGTGGCTCTCTGGTGACATTTACTAGTTGCATTAACCATACACTTTAAGCATACATCCATGTTGCCTAAGTCTTAGCCCGCTAAGAGAAATTTTAGGGTAATGGGGGAGTCCCGTCAAGCTGTGACTCACCAGCTAGAATGAGAGAAGAGCTCTTTCTATGACTACAGACACCTGGGAGTTTCTGGCACCACATAGACTGGTTGCCTAGTTATATTGATTGTCAAATGCCCATTCATTACTGTCTATATCTGAGCAAAGAGGATGGATTGAGAGGCAGAAATAGAACAGAGACATATAGGAGAGCTTGTACAGAGTAAAGACCCCTTTGCACTAATAGCTAAGTAAGATTGTGTGTGAAGAGAATGGTTGATTGGAGAAGTATTTCACCACTTGTATTCTGTGCCTGTCTCACTTTGATAACTCATTTTTCTTTCTCCTGGAAGGTAGGGAGATGCCCAACCAGCAGAAGCTCTCTGCAGCATGCTAAGGAGACGTAACCTTCTCACTACACTTCTGATTGCCTTGCCATGGGGCCTTCTACTGACTTTGTGGCATCAGTACCCAACCACCCGCTACCTCAGCCTTCTGAGAAGTAAGTTACAAAACCAGAGCTGGGAAAGTTACTTTTAAGAGGAATGAATGTAAGGACACACTGAAGTAACTAAGTAGTAGGAGTGTGCAATTCAGCAAAAATCTGTGCCATTTTCGGTGCTCGGTTTTTGGCTGTTCCATTTTTAGGGAACTTCCCAAATTCGGGAGGGGTGTCTGTTTTCATTCCAGAAAGATTTGATCCATTACCACCAATGGGGAAACTTCCAAGGCTAATTTCTCCATCATTTTTAGGCCTATCAACATGAAACCTGTCTTACTTGTAGGTGATATTTACTACTGCAAGCCTTCCAAGTTTCCGAACGTTTTACAAATCTCCTAATTGTTTGGAATTTTAAAAAGTTTTTACCATAACATGTCTTTAAACCCACAAGAGGGGGTTGTGGGAATTGAAGTCACAAGAGGTGTCTGATTGGATCAGAAAGAAAGTGAGAAACATACACAGAGAAAAACCTCAACTCCCATCATGCCCTGGGAGGGAGCACAAGGCTCCTTCTATGCTTGCACCATACAAGGTGCTGCTGGGAAAGCGCCTTCCCATTTGCCTCAAGTGGGTGTCGCGGGGAAGGGTTTTCAGGAAGGAATGGAAGAAAGCAAAGGAACAGCCACAGCTTTCCCGATTTGCAAGTCCCACATGCTGCTGCTGCCTCAGCTAGAGTACCTCTCTGGTCCCTTTGGTCCCCATTAGCCACCATTATCCGAAAAGATCTGGCTGTTGTGATCTGTACTGGCTAAGGTTTCGGCTGCCCTGTGCCAGGCTCATTGTCATAGATTCAGCAACCGAATCCACTGAACCATCCGAATCCAGTACACAAAAACAAAATCGTGTACACCCCTACTGAGTAGTGGTAGATCTCAAAGCATGATTTCATATTTCTCAGTAGTAGATGGTTCCAGCTTCTCATTATATTTGTTCTTTTTCTAACTTTCTAAATTCTGATCAGGCATTACAAAAGTCTCTATAACTTTATCTCATATCCATGTTTCTCTGATAAAAATAAATAGCAGTGGTATCAGATAGAAGATACAAACATTGCTGTATTCTAGTGTTTCTCCACTGAATGTATTAAATAAGAGTGCGGCATATTTTCCTCCCATCAAAGATGGCATGTACTCAAGAACTCTCTTTCACTCTTTCCACGGGAACAACTTTACTTAAGAGAAATACTTATGTTAAAATGCTTTACAGATTCTAATTGCAGTAATAGCAAAAATTGTTTCATCTAGCTAATTGGACATTTGAATATACTGGTAGTTTGCATACTACGATCAGTTTTATTTTTTGCCTACATTTAGAGATTTGCCTTGCTATGGCTTATGCATAATCTTTTTCCATTATGGGCTATATTATAATAAAGATATATTTACACCTCAAAAAAATCCACCATCTTTCTGAAGCCGTGTGGCAGCCCAGCCTGTAAACCAACAATAAATAGGGTTACATCCATGCTGGGCTGATTGGTTACAGAAAGGTTTTTAAATTCAACCAAGGGTTATTTAGGACTCTAGATCAGCAGGTTACCAGGCCTGCTATATAATTTTTACCAGATGTTGAAGTGAAAGACAGAGAAACAGTCCACCATCATATAAATCCTGCTATAGGGGAAGATGGAAGCTCTATTTGCTTTAGAAGGTGGTGGTGAAATGAACCTTTGGACCTAGGGGGAAAAACCAGATGGGAGAGACACAGGTAATAACATCAATCATAGAAGTAGAATTGTTGAAAGTTACAGAGTCCCTTGGTTACAACCTGGAAGCACTAGATCTTTGTAACTCACGTACTCTCAAAATGCTGTTTCTTTTCTATACAAAATAATCCCTGTGACAATTCATTTACTGAAGAGGAATTGACAACTCATATTCAGAGGCATTAATACTGAACACTCTGGTGGTATTTGCATGTATTTGCTTGATATTTGCAAACTCCTAAAAGGAATATTATTTTTCAAAAGATATTTGCATTTGATATGAACATCACTTCCAACATCTTCGGCTTTTTTATGTTTTAATTAGCTTGTTGTTTCTTTGGTGGTGTTTGAAAAAGCTTCAGTAACAACAATCAGTCAAAACTTGTCTGCCTAGAGGAAAGAGAATTAGAATTCAAAGTGTAATGTGGAAAGGTCAGAATAAAAAACCTACAGCAAAGTGTTGGAGGGCTGTGTTATTCCTTATTCTCTTTCTTCTTCTTGCCTTAGAGGAAACAGATGAAAACGTGACAGCCAAATCCCTCTTCAACAGCACATCCCTAGCGAGGGAGGATGGGCTCCCATCTTGTGCTCGGCAACCAGCCATTGGGACTGCTCCCAAAATAATCCGGAGCTTTGTATACTCCAGGCCTCCCCCATGGTCAGACACACTGCCTGCCATATTTGTGATCACACCAACGTACACCAGGCCCGTGCAGAAGGCTGAGCTGACCCGACTGGCCAACACCTTTCTCCATGTACAGAACCTCCACTGGATAGTGGTGGAGGACTCACCCAGAAGGACCAACCTGGTTTCTAATTTATTGGAGAAGGCAGGGATCAATTTTACTCACCTGAACATTGAGACTCCTAAGAGCCTAAAAGTGGGTGTGTCCTGGATCCCATCTCATACCCCACGAGGCACGTTCCAGAGAAATCTTGGACTCCATTGGTTGAGGCAAAGCTTCAGCACCATATCACCACCGGAGGGTGTAGTGTACTTTGCTGATGATGATAATACCTATAGCTTGGAGCTGTTTGAAGAGGTGTGAGACTCAAGGTTGTGGGGATAACATATATTTGGTCCATGATTTAGATGCATTTGGCGACTGTATTATTCTGTTAATATATATTTTGCTGTACACCAAGTAATTTTTGTGAGTAAATGGAGATGCCAGCTAATCTTATGACAAATCAGAAGGGTGAAAAAAAACCCCGTAGGTTATATCTTTGACATCTCTAGTTAGATCTGGAGAAAAAAATTGTCCTGAAACCCTACAAAGCTTCCACCAGCCAGTGAAGAGCAGGCAGGTCAACTTGTGAGCCTTTAAAAGTAACTACAGTAGAGCTGTTATCCTTTACCATTGACTGTGCTGACCAATGCTAATTCTGTTGCAAGCCATTATGTGTGAGAACACAAGGTGCTCAGATGTGTTACAGAGCTTATTGAATGTGATTTAGTTCAGATATGACAGCTTTCTATATTTTGGACTTATATTGTGCAGAAGAGTACTAGCAGAAACAAAAGGACAAGAGAACATTTGCAGAAGAACGTGAAAGCGATGGAGGGAATAAAGGGATTTTTTGAGACAATGATGTAAACATTTGCTTGGCCGAATTCAGGGCCTTTCCCTGACTCCTCCTATGCCTGGCTGTCGTTGGGTGAGGGGATTCTTGGTGGGAGTGGCTTTTTCAACCTGTGTCCCTGCCAATCAAAGCTTGGCAGGACTCAGAGGTACATTTCATTGCAATAGGAATAGATTGTACTCCCACAGTAATGTGTGTACAGAACACTAAGATAGAAAGCAAAGTAGAGAGTTTGGCACAGTCAGAAAAGAAAGAATGGAAGCAGAGCTAGAAAAGTGCTATGATATGTTGGTGTTTGTCAAGAAAACAAGAAGCCATAGTTTGGGACAACTGGAGTGGTTTGTGTAGAGGGAAAGTTAGACAAATACCAAGAGATGCTTGTAGTGTATAGAAAAGGAATTTGTAATACTCATGTTATTGTTTGTTTTCTTTCTGACAAGCAGATGCGCTATACAAAGAAGGTCTCTGTGTGGCCGGTTGCCTTTGTTGGAGGCCTGAGGTATGAGTCTCCTAAAGTGAGTCCAGCTGGCAAAGTGGTGGGCTGGACAACTGTGTTTGACCCAAACCGTCCCTTTGCCATTGACATGGCTGGCTTTGCTATCAACATCAGATTGATCCTGGAAAAACCGCAAGCCAATTTCAAACTGGATGGAGTTAAAGGAGGTTACCAAGAAACTAGTTTACTGAAGGACCTGGTGACAATGGATGGATTGGAGCCTAAAGCTGCCAACTGCACAAAGGTCAAACATTTGGGGAAATGTTGGGGAAGCTTTTGGGAACAGGTGGGAGGTTTTACTATGCTGATTCTTGACACAAAAAGTATCACCCAACCTTGGGTCCCCCAGATTTTGCTTCCATCATATGTACATAACTACTCATAATAGTTGGATGTGCTGTCATCAGTTGGCATGTTGCACATACATATAAAAACAATTCTGATGTGGCTGGAAGCCACCCATTTAATATCTTGTGTCAAGTCACCGTTATCTATTTCTCTATTTTTTCCTTATATAAGAGAAGTGAGCAAATAATAAATAAATAAATAAATAAATAAAAATCCATGTATAAAAATGAGGCAAAAAAATGCAGTCTCTAGATCAGGAGTCCTCAAACTTTTTAAACAGAGGGCCAGGTCACAGTCCCTCAAACTGTTGGAGGACCGGATTATAATTTGAAAAAGCATGAATGAATTCCTATGCTCACTGTACATATCTTATTTGTAATGCAAAAAAATCTTAAAAACAATACAATAATTAAAATGAAGAACAATTTTAACAAATATAACCTTATTAATATTTTAATGAGAAGTGTGGGCCTGCTTTTGGCTGATGAGATAGGATTGTTGTTGTTGTTATGTGCTTTCAAGTCATTTCAGACTTCGGTTAACCCTTAGGTTGATGTAATCTTCAGGCTCAACTATGAAATTCTTATGAAATTCACCTTCTCTTGTTAGGTCTTAGTCTGGCACACAAGGACGGAAAGGCCAACGCTAGTTAATGAAGGCAAACATGGATTCACTGATCTAAGGGTGGAGGTGTAGAGAAACTGTCTTAACTTTGTAAGTATCTGTGTTTTTCCAGAATCTATTGAGGCCATGGAAATGTGTTTTCAAACATCTTATATTTTGTATTAAGTACTTTAAATATGTCAGCATTTCAGCCTTGCACTCTGTCTTCTAAGTACAAGCTTCTAGACTAATTATAATTTCCCTTTCTTGAAGCAAAAGTACAAATTTGTGAGCTCAGATTGTCAATCTCGTGCCTGTTGTTCTACGTGGGTAATAATGATATGCAACCCTGTGCCTGGAATTCCATAGTGATGGTGGTGGTCTTAACCAACACAAATGAATCAAAATAGTGATAAAGAAGTCCTATGTGCTGGCAGCTAGGTATGCATAGATTAACCATATTGTGCAGACTTATCTGTAGCCCTAATGGAGACCACATGCTTTGAACACAAAATCCAAGTGTAGTCCTTGACATTGGTACAGTCCTTGTAAAGCTGTTTTCCAAGACTTTGCTAGCTCTTTTGCCTGTCAAAAATAGATATTGCCGAGCTAAAGGGAATAGCGTTTTGATGCAGTATATGGTAGCTCATAGTTTCCTGTGTCTATGTGACATACATCATAGAAAAGTATCTGTGAATTCTTGTCATCACACCTAAATAATGGCAGATTGTGTTGGCATGGAAACTCTCCATGTAGTAGAAGCATAGCTGGAAAGTTAAACTTTGAACATAGTGCTTGTAACCCCTATTATCTGTTGATTTTGCTAAGTCGGATCACTTCTGAGAAAGATCTTCAGTGGGTACAGGTGGTGGCAAAGAAGACAATATGGGAAGAATCTTTTGTAAGCTGTTTTAGGGGTCTAAGCCTAATTCGAAGGAAACATCCTTTTTCCCAGTAGCAATTCATGCCAGCATTCCACCAAACATTGTTCATTGGATGAAAAAGAAAATGCCAGACAGGATATATATGAAGCCAAAACAGTTTCTAGGGCAAACATCAAGGCTAGGGAAATGTATGGCTCTGGAACAGGTTGTGAACTGTCAGTGGTGCTCAACCTGTGAGCCACGGCACAAAAGTGAGCCATGAGAATGAAAACGTGGTCCACGAACCTCCTTCCTCTTTGTTTTATTTTATTTTATTTCTGCTCCTTTCTGCAGAGCTGACCAACCCCACTCCTTTTGCTACTAATGTTGGAGAGTGGTCCCGGTCAAGCAGGCCCTGGTCAAGTGGGCTCTGGTTGGGAACTACTGCTTAAATTAGAAGCTCCTCACATTCTTAATATAAACAATCCCCAAGTTACAAACATGATAGGTCCCATGGGCTTTTTCTTAAATTGAATTTGTATGTAAGTCAGAACAGGTACATTTTTAAAGTATAACTCCGGCTATACACACACACACACTTTGGGTAGCATAGGGAAGTGTTAACACTCATGTGGTGTTTGTTTTGCCATCTGTGCCCCTGTTCAAAAGATTTCACCTCACTTTCTGACTCTGTGAAAATTGGATTTTGAAAGATAATAGTTTGTTGTAGAAACAAGGATTGGTGATAAAGCTTCACTTGAGACAGCTTTTCCCCATGATAACTCTTTCAGGAGTGATTTTCCCTTCCTTGGGGTAGATTTTTCTCACTTCCTGTTGTCTCACCCCCGTTCTTAACTATGAGTAGTTTGGAAGTAGGATGTTTGTATCATGGGGACTCCCTGTATAAGAAAATAAAAAACATTTTTTAAAAAACTAAAAATGGCCAATTCTGGGGGTGAGGGTATAACATTTTTCCAAAAATGATTTATGATTTCCAATATATATAATAAAATAATATCAATAGGTAAAGCAAAAGAAAAAGAATAGAAAAAGTGTAAAAGAGAGAGAGATACAAATATATAAAAAGAAAAAGATAAAAGTGGCTTCTAATAATCTCTTCAGCAATTATTAAATCAAAACAAACTGTAAGAGCCATCAGTACCTCTCTGACACAGTGATTCCGCACCTACTTTCTATAAGATACAATTGGTGGTTGTCTAAATCAAATTTTATATCCTTATACCTATGTTCCCCGCATAACATCAATCCATTATTAATATACAATATGTCCCCAGTATTTGTGAGGGAAGCAAAACTGAGGATTTAAAAAAACGATTGAAATTAAGGACTTCTGGCTCAGGAATACCATAGAATTATGCTGAAGGATCTAGAAAAGGCCTAATAATTATCATGCTTTTCTAATTCTGTTCTTTTATCCATTTAAGAAGTTTAATTTTGTTCTTTCATCACACAGTATGTTAGACTTTCTAATTTCAATCTTAAAACCCTTTAAAGATAATCCTCATGATTTCTCACATTAATATAACCAGCAGGAAACTCACTAGGTATTGATGAAACCCCTGATCCAAAAATTTCTATTTATCCAATACATCTGATTGTTATCAGATTAAGAAAACAGAGTACTTTTTGCCAGCTTCAGTGCTCATTAAAATTTGCATGTAGAAGGGTGAGCTGATGTAGTTCATTCCGTGATCTTCCTGACTTTGGTCACGGTTGACAGTCACTTAGAGCTTGGTAGGATTCTCAGATTGTTGTAGGCTATCTCCTTGATATCCCTTTGTCTAGAGCAGTGGTTCTCACCCTTCCTAATGCCGTGACACCTTAATACAGGGTTAGTCAAAATGAATAGGCCAATAAGAAAATTAATTTTAGACGAATGTATGTTTACTGTAACCAAACCACAGCTACGTAGCGACAGATAAACTATCAAAGTTTTTTTTGAGCAACACACATGTACGTTAATGCCGCTAGGCGTCGCTAGGGGTCGCTGTTTTCAAAATGGCGGAATCAAGCAAAGAGAAGGCGTTTTGTGTGATGACATTTGCTAAAACAATGTCAGTAATTACGGTCCAGCGAGAATTTCAAGGGTTAGGGTTAGGGTTAGGGTTAGGGTTAGGGTTAGGGTTAGGGTTAGGGTTAGGGTTAGGGTTAGGGATAGGGTTAGGGTTAGGGTTAGGGTTAGGGTTAGGGTTAGGGTTAGGACCTCAACGAACACCTTCCCAGACGTTGCTGCATTCGATGCCATTACGTCGGATGTGCTGCAACGGATGTGGAATGAACTGGACTATCGCTTGGACATCTGCCGTGTCACACGGGGCGCCCATATCGAACATCTCTGAAGGTGAGACAAAACTTTGATAGTTTATCTGTCGCTACGTAGCTGTAGTTTGGTTACAATAAACATACATTCGTCTAAAATTAATTTTCTTATTGGCCTGTTCATTTTGACTAACCCTGTATAGTTCCTCATGTTGTCGTGACCCCAGCTATAACATTATTTTTGTTGCTACTTCATAACTATAATTTTGCATCTGTTATGAATAGTAATGTAAATATCCTATATGCAGGATGTATTTTCATTCATTGGACTAAATTAGGGAAAAATACCTGATATGCCCAAATTTGAATAGCAGTTGGGTTGTGGGGGGGGGGGGTTATTTTGCCATTTGGGAGTTGTAGTTGCTATGATTTATAGTTCACCTACAATCAAAGAGCATTCTGAACTCCACCAACGATGGAATTGAACAAAACTTAGCACACAGAAACACTGGTGGATTTTGGGGACAGTAGACCTTGACATTTGGGAGTTGTAGTTGCTGGGATTTATAGTTCACCTAACAATCAAAGAGCATTCTGAACCCCATCAATGATAATTGGGCTGAATTTCCCACACAGAACTCCCATGACCAACAGAAAATACTGTGCTTTCTGATAGTCTTTGGCAATCCCTCTGACACCCCCTCACATACCCCCCCCCTCAGGTGTGCCAACCCCCGGGTTGAGAAACACTGGTCTAGAGATACATCACCAGTCAGAACCTGCTTGCAAACCAGTATAAGAGGTATCAATTAGCCATTTCCATCTTCAGAAATCTGTGTAGAGTATTATTTTTCTCAATCTGTGTTGGCCTTGGTAGTGTCACACTGCAGAGCTACCACAGCTGCCCACCTCTACTATTCATAATAATTTAACTGCCTTTGCAGGTAAGGCGCTCACAAAGTTTTCTGTTATCCACATCAATTGCATATATTCATTTCAAGCCACAAGCAATCATTAAGTGAGCGGTTGGGGGGGGGGGGAGAGAGAGACTCTAAAGCAGTGGTTCTCAACCTGAGGTCCCCAGATGTTTTTGGCCTTCAACTCCCAGAAATCCTAACAGTTGGCAAACTGGCTGGGATCTCTGGGAGCTGTAGGCCAAAAACATCTGGGGACCCCTGGTTGAGAACCACTGCTCTAAAGACAAAGGTGGAAAATGCTTTATTTCCCTTAATAGTCAAACTCGCCCAAAGGCATGAATCTAAAATTCCCTATATGCATTGATTCCGTATAAACTGATCGTTTATTCACCATAATAAGTGTTTGTTTGCTTGCTTGCTTGCTTCTTTTTAAGTGAAAGAGGAAAAGGAGAGAAAAGATTGATGGTTTGTGTAGGAAGAAAAATAATCCGTTTTTATGGTCTTTGTAAGCTGAAAAAGTCCAGGCCTATTTGCCTGGACACTTCACAATTATGGGAGTCTCGAGAGTTAATGTGCCATTGTGCTAGAGAGCTCTAGTGCACATCCCTGAACTCCAGCACTAAAGCTATCCAGCAGAGAGTTCTCAGGACCTCATCAGATTAAAATTCTGAGGAGTCTATAGATAGAACATTAAAGTGGTATTAATGTGCTATAACCCTCTAGTGTGAAAACACTCCTGGACTGTGCACCAGTCTCAAAGAAGTCTATGTTGTGCGCAAGGAATTAAAATCTGCTAACAATTCCAAAGCTTAACAGGGCTGCCAGCACAGCTTTATGAGACAGAACCTTCTGTTCCAGTTAACTCCAGTGGGACTTAATGCAATTAATGTTCCTCAGAGAATGTGCCCTAAATTTGTGCGCAAAAGAAACTGGGCTGCCTGAATCAGCTTGATTTGGGTAGTAGATTAGAAGAAATGAAGGAAGTGAAATGAATACAAAGTGATGCTAAATGCGGATTATGGAAAATAGCTGTAGTTTGCTTATTCAGTCAGACCCGAATTTATGTTCCAAGGAACATGTAGCTGTCCAACATGGCGGTGGCGTCCATCAGTCTTAACTACCATCAGCAGTGGTGGGGGGTGAGTTTGAACAACATATGCAGGGTCACATTTTTAAACATAACTGGCACTACTAGAGATTGTACCTGAATCTTCTGCGTAGGAAATGTGCCATCAACCACCAACACTCTAAACTCTCCAAGATGTTTTTATTCTGCACCCACAATTTTGTAAAGTAATGTGTTAAATCCAGATTTAGTCATAATTATATTAGTAATTGATATAATTTAGTGTTAAAGTAGAGTCTCATCTTCTATTACAGGTGAATCTTATACACATTTTCCTTTGAAAAACTGGTAGGAGAACAATGGTGCAAGAAATCTGGGAGGGCCCCTGAGGCTAGATCATTTAAGTTTGTAAAGCAGTGTTTCTTAACCTGGGTGTCAGGACACCTGAGGGAAGTCACAAGGAAGTTTTAGAGGGGTCACCAAAGCCCATCAGAAAACACAGTATTTTCTGTTGGTCATGGGGGTTCTGTGTGGGAAGTTTGGCCCAATTCTATCATTGGTGGGGTTCAAGGGGCTCTTTAATTGTAGGTGAACTATAAACCCCAGCAACTACAACTCCCAAATATCAAGGTCTATTTTCCCCAAACTCCAACAGTGTTTGGGCATATTGGGCATATTCAGTATTTATGCCAAGTTTGATCCAGATTCATCATTGTTTGAGTCAACAGTACTCTCTGGATGCATGTGAATTACAACTCCAAAACTCAAGGTCAGTGCCCACCAAATTCTTCCAGTATTTTCTGTTGGTCATGGGAGTTCTGTGTGCCAAGTTTGGTTCAATTCCATCATTGGTGGAGTTCAGAATGTTCTTTTATTTTAGGTCAACCATAAATCCCAGCAACTACAACTCCCAAATGAAAAAATCAATCCCTGCACAACCCTACCAGGATTCAAACTTGGGCGTATCAGGTGTTTGTGCCAAATTCAGTCCAGTGAATGAAAATACATCTTGCATATCAGATATTTACATGACAATTCATAACAGTAGCAAAATTACAGTTATGAAGTAGCAACGAAAATAATTTCATGGTTGGAGGTCATCACAACATGAGGAACTATATTAAGGGGTCACGGCATTAGAAAGGTTGAGAACCACTGTTGTAGAGTTACAGGTGACCTACAGTTCCCATATTTTCCCCCTTGGTGTACTGATGAATTTTCTTTCATATGTTGATGTCATGACATTCTACTTTAATTCCTATCTCACTTTACATAATTCTCTGGAGGTCATTTATGGATTGGAAAAAACAAAGGAAGTCTATCCCAAAACCAGGTCACAACTAAGTTCAAGGGAACTAGGAGAGCACAGGTTTCAGCGTCCTAGTTCCTAGTATTTCCCAAAAGAGTCTGTACATAATTAAAGTCCCTTGTTCGGCATTGATAATAAATGGTGGGGGTGCAAGGGGGGGTGCATTTTTTATTCCCTACACTACCTGGCAGATGAAATTGCACTGTGACATGGAAAAGTTTATTTAGCCTGGCAACTATTTGCATCTTGCTAGGCAGATCTGCCTTATATTTGGGGAAGCCTGGGGCTAAATGGACCATTTGCAAGATGTTCTTAACTACAGGATTGAAAATACTCATTTGCAGGGATTTGTTTTTGTTTTTTGCAGCTCCCAAAATGCCCTCCAGAAGAACAGAAAGATGAATGCAGTTCCTGTTTTATGATTATATAATAAGTGCTCCCCACTCCCCAAAAGGAGGGGAAAAGGCTTCTCCCTCCCTTCTTTCCTGTTATTTTATGCAGCTGCTGTGTCTCCATTCTACATTGCTGGAACAAAATGCAGCAGGCGTATGTCTGAGGTGCCTTTGAGTTCCCAGCGAATATCCTTTGTCTCTCTTCTGGGAGAGGATATTGATTGGAAGCTCTGCTTGAATAACTGCCCTTAACCATGGAAGTGAAACTTGGTTGTTTCCCATGATTATAATATAAATTTTCTAGTCTGTGGAGAAAAGAGAAAATGTTCAAGAATTGTTATTCCATTAAGAATTGTACTCCATTAATTTCTTCAAGCCAGTAGCAACGGGCTGTTATAGATTTGAAATCATGCTTAAACTTATTGGCAATACATTTACCAGCAACTAACCATGTCAACTCAGTGACACTCAGTGACCTGTGGCCTAAAAAGTAACTTGCCTAAAGAAAACAAATAGACTTGGATCCACTTGATGTTGCCCTAGATCAGTGGTTCTCAACATGTGGGTCTCCAGATTTTTTTGCCTTCAGCTCCCAGAAATCCTAACAGCTGGCAAGCTGGCTGGGATTTCTGGAAGTTGTAGGCCAAAACACCTGGGGATCCACAGGTTGAGTACCACTGTCCTAGATTGTCTTAGGAGACACTAATGCTCTGGAAAATGATGTAAAGAGAGTGAATGGAGGATTCAATTCTTCATTCAGTTTTTAGGCATCTTGTTTCAGAGTCAGTGCTGAAGTGAGTACAGAACTGGCAATGCAAGAGATCTAGGTTCATGTGACTGTCCACTGGGACACTACCTGGCTGTCCAGGAGTCTGCTTCCATTGCAGGAAGAGAGCATGAAAACACTTCCACGTAATCCGAGGCCAATTGGAAGCAGGAGTACTTTGAACCAGCCCCGGATTTAGGTGTCTATGTAGATAGGCCCCTTGTAATATTACCTGGAAAAGTCCCAACATACAGGACGCTGTATCAATTCATAATCTCTACCATGAGCAAATACTTTGAAACAAAATAGGTCAACATTTTCCATTCCAGATCAAGCTATTACACCTCCCAGACATTTTAGTTCACAACCCTTATACCTTATAACCATACATAGTTGCTGTAAATTTTAATATTCTGGCAAAAAAAATTGCAGTTAAGTAAAAAAAAAAAAACCCAGAAAAGTCCAAAGGCTATGGCATAAGATTTAATCATCTTATCTAATCAAAAAAACCTCCCAAAGCTTCAACCCTACAAGTCCTGTTTCCATTACATCACTGGTTGCAAACCTGTACCTATCTTTTCAAAGCTCTTTTTGTATTTATTTTGCAGGTGGTCACTTTTCACCGCTCTACAATTGCTCAGCAAGGCACTGATGCAGCAATCAGAAACAAATTCCTCCTTGTGATCATATCTTCTAGCTTCCAATTCTCCTTAAGCCATGAAAGAAAGAAGCAAAATGAATGTCATGCCCAAGTTCTTTTGCTTTGTATTCTGACTATTCATCATAGAACAACAAAGAAGAAAAAAAAAGAAACATGTTTCTGAAGTTGTATTTATTTCTTGGATGATATTTTAAAGACCAGAGCCAGTTCTCACTCGTACAACATCTTGGAGAATGCAAGAAGAGCTAGGTTTGCACAGAAGACAGAACTCTCTTTGCTTAATCCACATATCCGATAAGATTTTGAAGTCCTGTTTTGAGAAGTAATAAGATATATGCTTCTACATATTTTTATAACACATGGCACTTCAAAACTAGGGCATCCCTATTGTATTAGCAGTGAGATATTACTGCATCATGTTAAAATAAGAGATGCTCTCAAAATGGCTCTTTTAATCTGAGGATTCCTCACTATCACCCCAAGGATAGGATTGGGCAGTTCTATGTGTGATTAATACTTTAGTAATTAATTGAGTTCTCCACCAATTCCTCTGTTACGATCCAAAATTCAGCACAAGGTCTCGATCACCACCAGTTATTCTTGGATCCAAATACCAACTGAGCCAGAAAGTATGAGCCATAAAAATCATGAATTTCTGTCAGCAAGAAATGATCATCTGCTGTATTCTTTAGATCAACCCATTCTCACAGAGAATGCTGAATTAGCCTTTGTCAGTAGGAGGAATGATACCTTGGTCAATAGCTAAGTTATGGTTTCCTGGATCCAGAGGCACAGCTTTGGCATCCATTGGGAAACAATTACTGCGCGAGATGGATTTTTAATCTGATACAGCAGGACTTTTTGTGTTCATGTAGTGTTGTAGATCTCTTATACATTCTTAAATGATTTCTGTACATGCATGATCAATTTCCGTTCATTACCTGGCTGGACTGCTATGAGCTTTGATGAAGCAACAGGTTCGGAATGAGCAAAGAATGCTCCGTCATAGAGAATAACGGATACGAAGTTTAATACAAGGGACAACGAAAATACGAATGTAGAAGGAAGTGGCTCCCTGGTTGCTGAGGACAGAAGTAATAATGCAACATGAAGCAAAATGGAAAATTAACAGTTTGCAATTGTGTTTGTATTTAGAGATGTACTGTCTGGACATCAGCATAGTTGGGACGAGGGATTCATGGGCAAAAGAACTGGACTATAATGAATTGTAAGAATTTAATGATAGCACAATTGTTTGTCTCTGTGGTGAGCTCTGCTCACTTAAAAAAGAAAAAAGCACACCCTTGGGGTCTTCTGTAAGAAATTCTCACAATTAACAGAACTGAAAAGGACTTTCCCAGTTTCTGAGCCAGCCCTGAGAAAGTAGCAGGGTATCAATTTGTTTCATAGTTTATTTATCATATAGGACTTTTCTGCCTATTCCAGTTATATTCATCTGGCATGTTTGTGAAGATCTTTTTTTCCTTCCCATGGTCTTCACATATATTTCATGCTCACGGCATTCATACGGGAGGGACCCACTGTTTTAAATTAGTTGAATAATTAGAAGCACAATAATGAGGAAAGTGTGCAATTTAAAAAAAGAATGAGTCTATGTGGGAGTTTAGGTTGGCAGAAAAGGATTGTCAAATTTCTCAGTTCCTTTACCAGCTGTTTCTGTGAGGGAAACCATGGAGATCACCTTATAATAGAATGAACACTCAGCACATTTAAGGATATTCCTGGGTACATTTTCTTTCTCTTTATTATTAATGCAGATATGCGATCTAGGGTCTTATGCCCGCTATTGCAGGAAGGGGCAAATTATGGCTGCATTGCAACGTACGTTGTCCCTGTTCTGGCTAGGATTAGAGGAATTTAAATCCAACATTTGTAGGGAAAATTGCATTGGTGTCAGTAGGAAGTCACCTTTATCCTTTTCGGATTCTATCAGATAAGTAAAGGAAATATTTAATATCATGTTGCTATCATTTCCACTACCAGTAGCAGGTCTGCTGTACTTTGGAGAACCAAACACAGCTTTTCTGTTCACTACGTGCTTGCTGGTATGGCTATAAAGTGATTGAGGGGGAAAAAATTCAGCAAAAGTAGCATTTGTAGGGGAAAAAACTAAGGCCCCTTCCACACAGCTGAATAAAACTCCACATTATCTGCTCTGAACTGGGATATATGGCTGTGTGGATTCAGAGAGTTATTCTGACTTGATATTCAGGGTTATATGGATGACTGGAAGGGTCCTAAGTAATCAAGCAGCCCTGAAGACATTAGGCTAAACCCAGGGCCCTTCCACACAGTCTTATATCCCACAATATCAAGGCAGAAAATCCCACATTAACTGAGTGTGGTCTCAGATAACTCAGTTCAAAACAGAAATTGTGGGATGTTCTGCCTTTATATTCTGGGATATAGGGCTGTGTGGAAGGGCCCCTGGATGCCCTTACAGTTGGGAAGGTGTCTAAAATAGCTCATTGAAATTAAATCCTATCTCTTCTGGGCACATGAGGTGAAACACATCAGCTTTTACCTGAGGCTGCATGGTTTTTCTAGCCCTGAACACCACATTCACTGTTGGTTAACAGGGGACTAAGGCCATAAGGATGAAAACAATATTTGTCAATTTTAATATCCCTGGCCCCTGGTTGCACAGCAGGTTAAACCACTGAGCTACTGACTTTGCTAACTGAAAGGTTGGCGGTTCAGATCCAGGGAGTGTGATGAGCTCCCAGTGTTAGTCCCAGCTTCTGCCAACCTTGCAGTTCAAAAACATGCAAATGTGAGTAGATCAATAGGTACTGCTCCGGTGGGAAAGTAATGGCACTCCATGAAGTCATGCTGGCCACATGACCTTGGAGATGTCTATGGACAATACTGGCTCTTTGGCTTAGAAATGGAGATGAGCACGGACACGACTAGACTTAATGTCAGGGGAAACCATTACCTTTACTATTAATATCCCAAGTGAAAAGAGATTTTTTTTCCAAATTGTATTTTCTGTGTAGAAATTGAATTTTCAATACAAAAAATATTTTATGTGCAGCACAAAAAGTTACTGAGCAGAAAATGCAGTTTTCTGGTGGAAAAAAAAGGTGTTAATTTTTTTCTTGGAATAAATCTTGAACTCCAAATATCTTTCAAACACTGCCAGGGACACATCAAGAGAAGTGATTAGATTGTGTTCTTGCCCATGAGAATGAAATTTATGAAGATTTGCACCTCTCTTCCTTCGGCCACTCATGACCCCGGCCCCTACATGTTTGCACAACGCCACCTTATTGAGATTGCTGTTTACCTCTTGATACTAACAACAGGTAAGGAAAGGCCTTGGAAGCAGGGAACGGGTTTTTTTCTTTTTCAATATTTGGAATATGGCCAGGTAAGCAATTATCAGCCACAGCCTCAGGGCTGCAGGTTGTACCCGTTCTATACAATACAATACAAATAAATCTTAACTGTGTGACAGAGTACAGGAATGACCTCTTTTCCCCCATCTTATGATAGAATAATACGACTCAGTGAGGAGGAGACCCACAGGCCAGCTGAGGTGGATGAAGGAAGACGAAACACACTTAAGCTCAGATGGCTGGAGAATTTAAAAAAGAGCCTAGTGAGAGAAACCGTGTTGCTCGAAAAGAGCAGTACAAAAAGGGCTTTGTGGAATCTCCTTGGGGCCAGTGTTCTAGTCCTTGAATTTCATGAATACTATTAACTTTCTGTATTGCTTTTTTTTAAAAAAAAATGCATTGTTAACGAGAAAAAGACAGAATGTCAATGAAGTCATTTCTGATGCTTATTTATAATGGTGGATGCTCAGTTATTATTAAACATCGTATAGAAATAGCACAGCTCATTCCTCTGAGGAAAACGCAGCTAAGTGGTGAATGATAGAACATATTCACCATTTCCAAATGGTGAGGACATATAGGAGATCTGAGGGAGGGGGGGTGTTGGAGCCCTAAAGATATTTGTTTTGTGTCCACATGTATTTCATAAGAGTACATTACAAAATTTCCACATTGACCAACTTAACTATCAAAACTCAAGTTTGCATCACAGATTGAGCCCTATCCATCTCACTCCCCACATAGATGTTCTCATATCTCCTTTTTCTGCTTTTAATTATATGTTAATCTGATACCTTTTTTGCTGTCTATTTTTCTGCCTCTTTCTATTAGCTATGATGGTAGTGCTTTTTCTAGAGTGTGTTTCAAAAGATGGACTGACATTCTCAACTTTTGGAAGACCATCTCCTCAGATCCCTTCAATGAAACATCAAGGGCTAGTAGACAGCAGTTGGCCTAAAAGATGCATGGGGTAAACCAGATAAAGAGTTGCCTTCTGTTCTCAAGGCCTTCCTTATTTTCTAGTTTTTAAAAGAGATTCTCCAAATGCACAGCTACCTCCTTCTAGGCATACTAAGTGCTAGAAAGGCACCTTTTACTTACTATTTCTTGTGTCCTAAAATTTTAAAAACATAAAGGGATGACTGAATGAATGAATATGCTTCCTCTCTAAGGCTGAAGATTGGCGAATCACATTTGTCTACCCTAATTTATTCCAGGAAAACAAATTCATAGAATCATAGAGTTGGAAGAGTCCTTGTGGGCTATCCAGTCCAACCCCCTGCCAAGAAGCAGGAAAATCGCATCCAAAGCACCCCCAACAAATGGCCATCCATCTTCTGTTTAAAAGTCTCCAAAGGAGCCTCCACCACACTCCGGGGCAGGGAGTTCCACTGCCAAAAAGCTCTCACAGCTAGGAAGGTCTTCCGAATGTTCAGGTAGAATCTCCTTTCCTGTAGTTTGAAGCTATTGTTCCGCATCCTAGTCTCCAAGACAGCAGAAAACAAGATTTCTCCTTCCTCTTTATGACTTCCCCTCACATACTTTTACATGGTGATCCTGTCTCCTCTCAAGCCTTCTCTTCTTCAGGCTAAACATGCCCATTTCTTTAAGCCACTCCTCATAGGGCTTGTTCTCCAGACCCTTGAGCATTTTAGCCACCCTCCTCTGGACACATTTCCGCTTGTTGACATCTCCCTTAAATTGTAGTGCCCATATATGAACACACTGTGATTCCATGTGTGGTCTGACCAAGGCAGAACAAGGGGTAGCACGACTTCCCTGGATTTAGACACTATACTATTTATGCAGGCCAAAAACCCATCAGCTTTTTTAGCCATCGCATGACATTGTTGGCTCATGTTTAACTTGTCCACGAGGACTCCAAGATCTTTTTCACATGTACTGCTGTCGAGCCATGAATGTAAATGCCTGTATCTGCAAAGATACAGAATAGGCATCCCCTATTCTATATTTTGCAAAAACAGGCATTTACATTCATTTTTCCAGAATAGGTATAGCAAATGCGCAATGCTTCCAAAAGGACACAAGCCATCTTCCTTTGTTCCAGAACTCAATTTCTCCATCCAATATATTTTTGGTGTGCATAGATGACTAACTGTGGGTTACATAAAAAGATATATAATCAAAGGTTCAAACACTCTCCTCTGTGGACTTTTACACAATGTTTATTTAATGAAGTTTAGTCATACAGATAAAGATCATTACCTTTTTTTATTTGCATATTTGAATCCTCAGGGAGCAAGGAGAGCATACAAGTTGAAGGTAAAATGGAATAGAAGTGGTCAGCTTACAAGATGGATTGTACAGGCGCCAGAGTTTCTTACAATTTGTATCTAAAATGTATTATCTTTATGTCCACCACACAGCCTCCAGGCGGCTGTTCTGAAAGAGGTGAAGAACAAAAGATGGAAATGAAAAAATTGCACATTACCACTATTGTAAAATTACAGAACAGAGACAAGGTCTGCTGAAAATTACTAAGACATCATGTACAAAAACATAACAGAAAGAAATAACTTTCATATTGGCAAATAGATACACAATTTTCTTGTAAAGCTGTTTGTGAGTATATGTGTCTTCATAAAAAGCAAGTAAAAAAAAATAGAATCCAATCCCGAGCATGCAAACATTCATGGAATCAAAGTCTCTTCATGAATAACCAATTCAGTTCTTGCTCTGTCTTATCC